AAAAAAAAGTTAATTTCAAATGCTAAATCTATCTGTGTAAAAAATATGTAAGCGTAGACAGTTATATGCCCAGTATATGCCTATTCTTTTTTTCTGGAAGACTATACAAGACACCATGAACAGTGGTTATCTTTGGAAAGAGGATTGTTTTTACAACGAAAAAATGAAATGCTGGCTTCCTCTTGCAAATGGAAAAAAGTTACTAAGTGGAAAAATAGTGTTTAAGTATACGCTGCGAAAAGGAATATAAATGGTTTTTTTAATATAAACAGCAGCAGAGCCATAATTCGTGCTGTCTACGCACACAACCCAATCCCGCTCTCCCCGGGAAAGCATACCACCGTTTTGTTCCAGGGACCTGGATTCGCCTGGTAACTGCCACCTCTGTGGCCGTAGCAACTGAAGAACAGACGCAGATGATCTCAGAGAAAACGTCGTGAACTGAGACTTCACAGGAAAGCAGTGCTTCGGAACTCGAGTGTTCCACCACAGTCCCTGCAAATTAATACTTTCCACAAATCCAAATGAAAGACAATATGCTCAAGTGGTATTAAGTGGTATTTTACTCTTAAGCACATTTGTAAAAGCTTAAAACAATGCACCCGAGAGTTGAAGCCAGCGACCTTCTGCAAATTTAGAGAAGTGACTTCCCCCAGGAAAGTGTTTGGAGGCATTTAATGCCAATTTATCTTTATGCCTAACATGTGAAATGTCCGGATTCTTAGGCACCGAACTGTAAAGCACATAACATATTCATGTGTCATCTTAAATGGGCAAATGCACTTGGGTAAGAAAACAAATCCATTTTTAAATAGGGTAAATTGTTCAGAATAAATGGACTATTTGTCCTAAAAAGTCATATATTAAGAAAGACAAACCTATCAGCACAAGGACACCAGGTTGCTTTGTCGCTAGCTACTGTCTCTTGCTAATTCTGAAACAAAATGCCACACTTAATTAGCCAGCCAGATCCGCACCCTGCGTGGGGCTGATGGGGAGAAATGGCATTAAGGAAAAGGCTCCCTCAGGCTCTATTAGTGCCCTAATGAGCCGGTGGGGGAAGGGTGGCGTTGGGAGGGGGACAGGCAGCCATGATTGCCACACGGCCTTCAGCAAGTACCAACGGGGTGATCTCAACTGCACACTAATTGTCAGGGGTGTCTGGCCACAGCGATTCCTACTGGGTGCTCTGCAGGAAACAAATGTAGCAACAATCCACACATGCACAGCTGATCTAGCAGCTCTTCCCCTAAGGTATGAATTACATCCACGGGGGAGAAAATATGCCCATAATATCACCTAACTGTTGTCAGTGATTTCATCACCAGCAACCAACAGATGGGAGGAGTATCGATTTTCAAGAGGGCAAAAAGGGGGAGATTCTGCAAACTCCAGATTGGTGAAGGTAATACCAAGCCTTAAATAAGACCCCACAGCTTATTACAGTTATTAATTCAGAAGCAAGCAGGGGTTCACCAAACATGGGTCATTTCAAACCATCGTTCCTTGAAAGGGAAAAAGCCCGTATCTAAGTTACAGCAAGCTATCGATCTGTCAAGGTCTCCTACAATAAACACATTAAGTAGATGGAGAGATAGGGGCTGAATAACAATACAATTAAGCGGGTTTAGAAGTGACTGGACTTGAAGTTGGTTGGAAGCTAACTAACAGGCCACCATTAGCCTGGAGGACGTCTCTGGTGTGTCCAGGGGTCTCCATGCCCAGACAAGGTCCTGGTCTGGAAGGGATCACATAATTCAAAGCTCGGAAGGGGCTATGATCACTGTGGGTGACCACACTGGCATCCAGAAAGACTTCAACAGACGGCAAAAACTGACCAAGTCCACGTAAATAAACAGATTCTTAACGATGACAGACATAAAATCCGGACTGCTCTCGTTTGTTCAGGTATAAGGCTGGGGGGGAAGACTGGAGTTTTGGTTGACAACGAAGTCAGTAAGTCACTGCAGTGTGATTCACTTGTCAGAGGAGCGAATACAACCTCAGCTGAGTCTAGATAATATCTAGAACGAAAGAGGTGATAAGCTTACCCTCCCTGCTCAGGTGTGGGGACTACTCTTCCCAGACAAACCTGGAGAGGGTCCAGACACAAATGGCCAGGATGACGAGGAAACCTGAACCCACAGCAAGAGAAATGGTCAAAGGACCCAGGGAATCGCATTTGGCAGCGAGAACTGTCTCCATTCTTTGAAGGCTGGTCCGTCCCGGGGGAGAGAATGGCGGATGTCGGAAAGGCCTCCCGGGAGATGGGAGGGTGTGGTCACTAGGAATGCCTCAGCAGAGGCCGGGTGACCGCTTTGGGGCCCGCTGTCACGGGGTTAGCGTGGATGACCCTCGCGGACGCCTGCAGTTCTGCTTGCCCGGCATTCTTGCCCCCTCCCTCGGGCAACACACCCTCCTTTTCCTTAGTGAGCCATCCACCCTACCTGGTGCTCAGTCCACCTGGTTCATGAGCCCACCTGGCTACACAGGTGTGGATGGGAGTCAGGTTTGGCTGCCAATCGGAGTATTACACTCTCTGGCCGTACTGATAAGCTCTGGGATGGGACGGTGACCAAGCTGGCCTCCTCCTGTGGGGGTCCTGAGACAATTCTCTCTGCCAAATGAGATTCCCTTGGTCCTGATGTCGTCACTACGAGGACCAGCCTGCCAGAGGGCGGGCCCACACAGAGACAAGCGGAGCGCAGAGATGGAGAAGGGCCAGCTGTCCTGAGGACAGCATTTGAGCTCCCCGTGCCTATAAGCAGTGGTTCTCAACCTTCTGGCCCTTTAAATACAGTTCCTCATGTTGTGACCCAACCATAAAGTTATTTTCGTTGCTACTTCATAACTGTAATGTTGCTACTGTTATGAATCGTAATGTAAATATCTGATATGCAGGATGCTCTTAGGCGACCCCTGTGAAAGGGTCGTTCGACCGCCAAAGGGGTCGCGACCCACAGGTTGAGAACCCGCTGCAAGGGGACCTACACCAGGACCTCTCAGGAGGCTAGGACACTTTCAAACTACAGACCTAGATCAAGGGGGAAATATGGGTAAGAAAAGGTTGGAAATGTGGCAAGGACGTAGACCAATGTGGCAAGAAGGGAACAATAAATAATAAAGTCTTTTTTAACCTAAACTACCGGTTAAAACTATAGAGACATAGCTACCAAATGCAATGTGTAGACCTTATTTGGATTTAAACAAACCAACCTAAAAAAAAATTGAGAGGACTGGGGGCATCTGAATGCTGACTGGATATTTGCTGATACTAAGGAATGACTGAAGTTTTTAGGCAGGAGAGGATATTGTGGTTGTGTGTTTTTTAAGAGTTACTTAGTGACATGTTTGTTAAGGAAACAGATATGCCGTCTGGGAGTGGCTACAATGTCATTCAGTGAGGGGTAGGAGGGGGGTGCCCGTGAGCCCATGATCACCCTGTCTGGGTGCTGGGTACGTAAGGGCTCACTGCACTATGTTCCCTACCTGTGTGATATTTGAAGTGTCCCATAATAAAAAGTTAAAATAAATGGCAGGAGAAATATGCACAAACCAGTGTCTCTCCCCTACTCTCTCCCAGCTCCACAGTAAAAATGAATCCATTCAGTAACAATGAATACCCAGTTAATCAAAGAGCTGGCCTGGAATTCTACCCACCTTCAAAGACATAGGTCAGTCCTCAAAGCAACACCCGACAAGTAGTTACTGCTGTCCTGGTAAGAAACTGAAGGGAAACCAGATTCTGCGATGGGCCACTAGATGCAAAGAACCAGGTGCTTGGGGGAGTGCGGGGGGGCGGGGGGTAAAAAGAAAGAAAGAAGCTGAAAATTCTTTCCTCCTGTAACATGAATAACCATAAAATATGGAATGAAACTCAAGAGCCGGGGTAAACATTTAAATGGCACTTACAATGCTCCAGGCACTGTTCTAAACACTTTTCAAATGTTAACTCATTTAACTCTTCACGTTCCTGTATCGTAGATACTATGGTCTCCATTTCATTGACCGGGAACTAGTGACACACCTGTTAGGTAACCTGCACCAAAGTCACATGATTCAAGCCCTAGGCCGTTTGGCTCAATGGATAGTGTCGGCCCACAGGCCGCAGACTGAAGGGTCCCGGGTTCGATTCCAGGCAAGGGCACGTACGTCGGTTGCAGACTAAATCTCTAGACCTCGTGTGGGAGGCAACCAATCCATGTGTCTCTCTCACATCGATGTTTTTCTCTCTCTCTCTGTCTCCCCTTCCCTTCCACTCTCTCTAAACATCAAGGGGAAAAGCATCCTCGGGTGAGGATTAACAAAAAGAAAGAAAGTGATTCAAACCCAGGAAGCCAGGCCCAGCATCCATACTCACCCACTAGGCAACAGACTTTCAGCATTCGCTTATAATAACGGAATAATCCTGAAGGTCTATGGGCATAAATGCTCTCAGTTGCAGTCACGCACGTGCCCAGAGCTGAAAACGCTGCCCTCACACCCGCAATCACTACCATTCAGAGCTCGGAGGGCAACATGGCGATTCTCCCTTATTGCACGTTGTTCTGCCCAATCTCTGTATTTCACATCAAACCCCGAAAAATGAGTAACAGATGAGGCAGCTGCGCTGTGAGCCACCACGATCAAAAGCAAACTGTCTTGACCTGATCTCATTTAAAGTGGGGGGAAAAGGCAACGTCTTCTGATTTTAAACAGACTAAATCCATTCAGATTTTTATCCCAGGGATACTGACCAAAAAAGACAAATAAAAAACTGCAAACCCAATTCATCTGGATAAAATTCTCCTAGAAAAACAAAGAGGGAAACCCTACCCCTCGAAGAGCAAAACTCACCACACCCTGTTGTATGACTATTCAGGGGTGACCCAAGATAGAGAGCATTATTAACTGTAGAAATGGTACTTGAATTTACCTGTAATTGGTGTCTCCACTGAAATAATCCAAGTGGGGGGTGGGTGATGTGTGACAGGAAGGAAGGCTGAACCTGAGGCTTACACTGCTTTTTAAAAAGGATTTTTATGAAGAGTAGGTCACACAAACAGACATTGTATATCTGGCTCCAAGAGTTATGTCCAGCAAGCAGCAGAAAATTTATGTTTGTTTTTAATCACATATGCCACAGAACAAAAGTTTCCATTACAGGGTTTCACTCCAAAATAACAGCACTCAAGCAACTTTCAATTACTCCACTTCTTACTTGTCATAAAGCAGAAAGCACATGTTTGAAATTTCACTGGAAGTTAGAACAGCAGTTTCTGAAAACCCCATAAAAGGGAGGACGGATTTAGTCCTAGGCTCTCGGCAGGATACCTGAAGTTCAATGTTGTCTCTGAACAAAAGCACTAACGCAGCCCTCGGGCTTTGCATAGGATGAAGGGGAGTTGGGGGCACTTCACTGGCTGATCTATAAAAAAAAAAAGCCAAATCATTAAAAGGCCCTTAAAAACCACCCCCACCCCCAAAGGCGGCAACTGAAAAGCTCTGGCTCCCCTGCCTTCCAAGCAACAGCAAATGCTTTAAGCCGCTAAACTACCTCTCGCTTATTTCTGAGCCCATGCATATCTCCAGTGAATCCACACCCGAAGCCCTTTGTTAAAAAGAGAACGTTCGGCTCCCTCCTCTTCCACGGAGATCCTTTGATGTGAACACTTTTTCCGACACGATTTCATGAACAGAAAGGACTGAGTTGAATTTAAGGGAGTTCCACTGAGACCTTTCCTCCAACACGGTGACCCCGATCTAATAATCGGTTCTCTTTGCTTCAATTCTCCAGCTCAAACGTACTTTGAAAAATTAAAACACTTAATAGCTACTGATGACTAGGTGCCGGAAGACGTAATATGCATGCAGTGGGAGTTCCTTGGAAGAAAGAGGTTACAGAAACACCAACTATGTCTGAACTAAAAGAGCATGGAATGATAGGTCTGCAGAGAGGAGGCTATTTTAATGGCCTAAGCTTTTTGACATTTCAAAAATAGAGTGGAGTCTTTTCCTATTTTTAAGCGCAGAATTACAGGGCAATGGAGTTTCGCATCCATTTGCTCATTTAAGTGCTCTTTAAAGCACTCATTCAGAAACAAAAACAGAAACGCCCACATGCTGTAGACATTTACAATTAGACCATTCGATGAAGGCCCAACTATAACAGTGAATTTTTAAATCAAGCCAAGTAACGTTCCAACGCAAAGGACGTGGAAACTACCATGCATGCAAGTTACCGACCCCAAAGTCACACGCTGCTTTCCGTGACCCAGTTCTCAGCGCCTACCCACTGCCCATCTTCCCCTCCCCTTGGCTCAGGGAGCTCACTGTCTAATGAAAAAACAAAAAAACATAAAACACAAAAGGCTCATTGCTAGCAAATGTATGCACACGATCTATGGATGCTCCCAAAAGCATCCTCCCCAGAGGAAACAGAGGCAGGAGAGCTTCTTAGAGCAGGGAAACCAGGCTGAGTTTGGAAGCTCCCAAAAGAAGAGAGAGAACATCGCACAGGTGGGAGATGAGGGAGAAGAACAGACCGGAGCAAGGTCTGGAGCAGCGGTCGCCAACCGGTGGTCCGCGGACCACTGGTTGTCCGTGAGGTCCGAAAGGTTGGCGACCGCTGCTCTAGAGCTTGGACCTGACCCCAGAGATTATGGACTACTGAAGAATTCTTAAGCACGAGGATAACACGATCAAAGTAGTCTTTTGGGGCTTACCATTCCCTCTGGTAACCGTCTAGAGCAGTGCTGATCAAGGTGGGTGTGCAGTCCAGTGCCTGTCCAGGAGTTGTTTGTTACTGGCCCAAGGCAACAGGCAAGTCCGGGAATTGAGAATGAGCACTTACAGACGTCTACAGCAGCTTGACATTCCAGCAACATCCCAGCTTGTGATCAATGGGCTCATCTTACTGAACAGGACAGAGGCCAGCCTATGTGTTGTCAACTCAGTGGGCAGCTGCAGGGGATTCAGGTTGTATAGGAATCATGTGTGGTAAGGCCAGGTGTATTGGTGTGTGACTGGCTGGAAATTAACAACACGAAATAATGCTGATAATTGACTACAGACAGTGTGAGAAGCTAGTCTAGAGAATCACTTCAGAGGTCAGCACGGGAAGGAAGCAAGGAGCTCCAGAAGGCTGCTAGTACACAGTGGTCTGAATGAAACCTGAACTCAAGCAGTGATGATAGGGATGACGAGTAAGGGTCAAAGTTGAGAGCAATTAAGGTGATCAAATCAACAAGACTCAGTGCCCTTTGGATGTGAGGGGTGTCAGAGAATCAAGGAGGTCTCCCGAGACTCAAGAATTCTTATTTACTCCCAACTGGTGTGGCTCAGTGGATGAGTGTCGACCTATGAACCAGGAGGTCATGGTTCAAGATTCCGGGTCAGGCCACATGCCTGGGTTGCGGGTTCAATCCCCAGTAGGGGGCATGCAGGAGGCAGCCAATCAATGATTCTCTCTCATCATTGATGTTTCTATCTCCCTCTCCCTTCCTCTCTGAAATCAATTTAAAAATATATTTTAAAAATAATTCTTATTTACTTTTAAAATAATGGCAAGATGTAAAACAACAGTATGCAAGAGCTTCATGAAGGTCAAATCAGCAAAAAGATTCTGAATTCATCGCCATTTTTTTTTTTTCTTGTCTGATCGCTGTGGCTAGGACTTCCCGTACTGTGGTGAAAGCGGACAACCCTGTTTTGCTCCTGTTCTTAGGGGAAATGGTTTTCGGTTTTGCCCATTGAGTATGATGTTGCCTGTAGGTTTGTCATATATGGCCTTCATTATGTTGAGGTATGATCCTTCTATTCCCACTTTGCTGAGAGTTTTTATCAAAGATGGGTGTTGGATTTTGTCAAATGCTTTTCTGCATCTATTGATATGATCATGTGATTTTTGTCTTTCAATTTGTTTATGTGATGTATCATATGATTTATTGATTTGTGAATATTGTACTTGCCTTGTGTCCCTGGAATAAATCCCACTTGGTTATGGTGTATGATCTTTTTAATATATTGCTGGATCCGATTTCCTAATATTTTGTTGAGGATTTTAGCATCTATGTTCATCAGGGATATTGGCCTATAATTCTCTTTCTTTGTAGTGTCTTTATGTGGTTTTGGAATTAGGAGAATGCTGGCCTTGTGAAAAGAGTTTGGAAGTGTTCCTTCATCTTGGATTGTTTGGAATAGTGTGAGGAGGGTAGGTGTTGGTTCTTCTTTGAATATTTGGTAAAACTCCCCTAAGAGGGATTGGGATAATTGGGCAGATAAATGCAAAAAAAAATAAAAAATTGAAACTAGACCAACAACTTACACTATACACAATGCTGGCCTTGTGAAAAGAGTTTGGAAGTGTTCCTTCATCTTGGATTGTTTGGAATAGTGTGAGGAGGATAGATGTTGGTTCTTATTTGAATATTTGGTAAAACTCCCCTAAGAGGGGTTGGGATAATTGGACAGATAAATGCAAAAAAATAATTTTTGAAACTAGACCAACAACTTACACTATACACAAGAATAAACTCAAAATGGATAAAAGACTTAAATGTAAGTTGTGGAACCATAAAAATCCTAGAAGAAAACATAGGCAAAAAAATATCAGACATCTCATGTAGGAAATTTTCACTGATACAACACCTAGGGCAAGAGGAACAAAGGAAAAAAATAAACAAATGGGACTACATCAAAATAAAAAGCTTCTGCACAGCAAAAGAAACCAGCATCAAAATGAAAAGGGAACCCAACATATGGGAGAACATAGTTGCCGATGATACATCTGATAAAGGTTAATTTCCAAATATATAAAGTACTCATACAACTCAACAAAAAGACAAACAATCCAATTAAAAAATGGGCAGAGGACCTGAATAGACACTTCTCCAAAGAGGGCATACAAATGGCTGAGATATATGAAAAAATGCTCAAGTCACTAATCATCAGAGAAATGCAAATTAAGATGACAATGAAGTGCCACCTCACACCAGCCAGAATGGCTACCATCAACAATCAACAAACAATAAGTGCTGGCGAGGATGTGAAGAAAAAGGAACCCTAGTCCATCGCTGGTGGGAATGCAGACTGGTACAACCACTATGGAAAATAGTGTGGCGTTTCCTCAAAAAATTAAAAATGGAACTGCCATTTGACCCAGTGATCCCACTTCTAGGATCCTATATAATGAAAGGGTAATATACAAATTGTTCCCTCAACCAGGAGTTCCACTGGAGTTCGACCAGGGGGTGGCCAGCCAGCCAACCACCCTTAATCCCCCCCCCCCCCCCCCCCCCCCCCCCCCCCCCCCCCCCCCCCCCGG